TGCCCAGGGCCACACAGGAGGCACAGTGGGGGACTGAACTCCCAACCTCTGGCTCTGCAGCCAGATACCCAAATCTCTGCGCTATCCAGACAGCACCTCTGTCTGGATACTACAGCTTTATTTCCTCACACACAAACCCAAACAAAGGCCAAGCAATAATGACGGATAGGTATGAGGAAATGCATAGCACTGAGCCAGGTAGGCTGTCCTACACTGAGAATGATGCAAGAATGAAGCACATGGGTGATGTTTTTAGTAACTTAATGCAATATATATCACCTTCGACGTAGCTTTAGTCTGGCTAGAAGCAGCACAATTGACAAAAGATGTGGTCAGTAATGCTTTTTTGTCACTTATATGACACTTTGGCAGCATCACACACTAGGACAAATATCTATCCTTCTACTCCACTATTCTATGATTCTATGATCTCTAAGAAGAAGAAAAATCTGATTTCATGGCGGGGTGTATATTTATTTGTACCAACTAAAACTGCAAGCTTTTGAGCGTTCCAAAGCTTCTCATGAGATAAATTTTAAAAAAACATGGCAGACAGGGAAGAGCATAGAAGATCAAAAATTAAGTTAGGTGTTCATGTTGCCCAGACTGTGGCTAAATTAAATCTCAAAGTAATGAATCTGACTCAAATCTGAAGTTTTCTCTGTCAGCATCACTTTGCTTCTTCTCTCCTTTCTTTTTTCCTTACATTTTCTAAAAATATTATTTACTGTTGCCTCTGACCATAATTCCATGTACCATGCTTTGTGCTACATTCCTGGTATCTGCTCCATCAAAAGGAATGGACCCTCTGATAAATTATCACCACCTTCCTCTAAAGAGATGCAAAAGATATTCTGCTTTGACTCATGAGGATGAGGGAGAGATAGGAAAACTCATCATTTTTTTAAGAATAGAGATTTCAAAAACTATTACAAGTGTTTGCTTGTTTCATTTTGTTCAGCATCAAGCTAATAGATAGAACTGACATGGTTTCCATGCCAATTTTTTAAAAATTCATTTATATATTTGATTTACATACCACCCATCTGACCAATGGTCATAAATAAATTGCATAGAAGTAAATACAAAGACAGAATTATGATATTTCATGAAAAAAGTAGCAAACTTACAGTATATATACAGCCGCCTAGAGTGGTCAAAATGACTAAATAGGCGGGGTATAAATAAATAAATAAATAAATAAAATATAACAAACCTTGCAATATAGCACAAGACATCAACTGCATTCCAGTTTATGGAAGACTTCATGGAATCAGATTTCTGAAGGGATTTTGAAAAAGGCAAAGGCTTGGAGAAGTGAACCAATAAGAGGGAGAAACTGTTATTTATTGATTTGCTTAGTGTTTTAGAGACACATCCCACTTTCTAATCAAAACATCCCCAAGGTGATTTAGAAGAAACAAACAAAGGCCATCTCTCTCTCTCTCACTCACTCGCACGCTCACATGCACACGCACACGCACGCACGCACACACACACACACACACACACACACACAAATAGCAAGCAGCTTTAGTAGAGCTGGCTTAATATGTTTTTTTTCAATTTGAGAATCCAATGCCAAGCATGTTGCATTGGCACAAGGCAGAAAATGATACAAGCAACCTCTCCACATCTCTGGCAGTTAAAATACAGCTATAACTAATTAAAATAACTAACAATTTGCTGCTCTATTATGATAGTCAAAATCTGCAGCCCGAGGTAGCTGTTCCTCTCTGCCTAATGGCAGGGCTGTTTTTGATATTTATTGCTTTGGCTTATACACAAAGGTAAGCATGCTCCCTGTCCATCAGTTCTGCATTCCTGGAGCAAAGGGCAATTTCTCCCCATCAACAGGAGAATATTAAAAGGGGGATGGAGAATCATAGGTCCTTGTATAGAGAGCAATTTAGAAAGTTTTCTTCTGTTGGTTTTAAGTCAGTTGAGTTAGCCAATAGCTGCAGATATTACTGGATTGCATCCCCATAATCTACACTCAATATAAGAATAGATGACTGAAATTGTAGTCTGATATCATCTGGTGTGCCACAATTTTTGCATTCCCGAGCTAATGGAACAACAATCTGGAAGTCTGCATTACCATTGATCCTTCTTGGAACCTTTGGTCTTAGTACCATCATTTATGAAGGGAGGCAATCCTGTAACCTGTTTGTCATTAGCAAAATGCTTTCATCTATTCTTTAATAACCTCAAACCATCCCTTTCCCCTCTCCCCATTTCACCAATCACACAGAAATGTTTTTCTTGAAATGGAAAAAGGGCAGTGTGACTATTGATGATAATGATGTGTGAATTATTTCTCACTGGAAGCCACAAATGTTTGTTTGATTTTTTTAAAATAGAACTCACAAAACCTTGTTTTTCTCTGTCACTACTTTGCCAAAGTTGTTGTTGTTGTTTTGGACTTCACTGAGTACATCTTACAGCTTCATCCTACATTATCCTACAGCACACACAGTAACCTTATTGCAAGCTCACAAGAAGTTGGGGGTGGGCGGAATTAAGCCTAATCACATTTGAATCTTTAAGTCTGCATCAGTGCTCCTTGTGGCTTAAAGACTGTAAGCCCTAAACTCCACAATGGTTGCTGCTTCATATTTGAAATAAGAAGGCTACAGAAGGGAATTGCTGCTTATCCAACACGACAAAGCCAGGAACACAGTGATATTATTCGGGAACTAATAACTACGTTAGCCTTTCTCTCTCTCTCTCTCTCTCCACTGTTTTCTGTTGCATACAGTGCCTACAAATGTGAGGGCTTTAAGAAGGATAAAGATTACATGAAAATTTAAAGATTTTATTATAGTTCCTTTTCTTATAAAAAAAGAAAAAAGAAACTGATATGTTGTACTTAGTGAATTGTGGAGTTACAAGATTCTGTTCTTTCAAACAAATTCCATGCTTACGACAGCAGCTAAGGAAATCTGTTTTGGAACTACATCCTCTTACAAAGTCTTCCTGTTTTGGAACTGCATCCTCTTAGAAAGCCTTCCTTATTAACATAAAATACTGAAGGAGTAACCCCAACCACACTGGCCCTATTATTCATCAAATATATAGCATGCTTAGTGTTCTGAATCATTACTTTAATGCATAGTTAAATAGATTGTGCCAGAATTTAGATTCCTCCCCCCTCATGGAAAAGGCAAGGACAAATTTCCCAGAATGAGCATCAAGTGTTGGCATTTATGGTTAGCCTATCCCTTTAAAAAGGTACATTCCCAATAAGAGATTAATTTATCATCCTCTGAAGTATCACAAGTTTCTTGAATGTGTTCTTTTATGTTATATGAAGCAAGAATAACCATTAAGAACAGTATACAGAAACCACTGGAAAAGGCATGTATTTGTTCACTCTCTTAACGTGGTAACTTGCAGCATCAGGAAAGAATACAGTCGTGCCCTGCTTAACGATTACCCCGCATTACGATGAATCCGCTTTACGATGATGTTTTTGCGATCGCAATTGCGATCACAAAATGATGGTCTAAATGGGAGAATTTCGCTTAGCGATGATCGGTTCCCTGCTTTGGGAACCGATTGTCGCTTTGCGGCAATCAAAAACAGATGATCGTCGGGTTTTCAAAATGGCCACCAGGTGCTTAAAATGGCTCCCCACTGTGCTTAGGGACGGATTCCTCACTATACAGGCACCGAAAATGGCCACCGTATGAAGGATCTTCACTGGACAGAGAGCTTTTAGCCCATTGGAATGCACTGAATGGTTTTCAGTGCGTTTCAATGGGTTTTTTAAAATTTTGCTTTATGATGTTTTCGCTTAACAGCAATTTTCCTAGAACTGATTATCGTCATTAAGCGAGGTACCCCTGTATGCCCTTTAATATTACTCCTCATCCTAGCCTGGAACCTGCATCAGGTGTCAGAAGGAAGAAATGGCTAGCACTAAATATTAAATTGCTACCAGGGTATGTTATCTCAGAGGCCATGTTCAGCTTCCTCATCATCCTGTTCTCAGTGTATGCTCCAGTGAAAGGTTTGAGAGATGAGAATTCTGAGACAAATCTGTGGGAATTAATTTACTGAAGAAAGCATTGGTTGCTGAACACATCCAAGAAAAGGTGATCACTGAAGGGAAAAATGCCACTTGAAGACTTATGTTTAAGTTTGTTTCATACAATATATTCACAGAAAACAAAAGGACTGCAAGATCTGAAATTAGGTCCCTGAAGTCCTTATTTCTCATCCAGTAAACGTTACTGAGTTATATAGCAGTGTGAGGGTTCTATTGGGTTAATAAACAAAAGAAGCAACTCATTCTTCAGAATCGCATTCAGATGAAGCATTAACATTAAAAAATGCTCCGCGTACGCATGGGCACACAACTTGAAAGCACCAATGTTTCGGTGTGAAGCTACATGGGAAGTGTTCTCAATGATATAAGGCAGCCAAGAGTCTGAGAGCTAAAAGATAAATGTTCCAGTACAAATACACAGGAGGTATAGCGCCCATAATTAACTAATGTAAGATGCTTTGCTTAAATGCAGAGCTTCATTTACCATCTATTGTGGTTAAAACCAACATTATGTGTTTGGCAGACAGAGCAGTGAGGCTGTAATTTTATGCTGGAAATAAAACCTATAGCATTTGAATAGTACAGATTTTAAGAATTACTTTTTTTATAGCATTAAAAATAAAAATGCCATTTTCCTGTCTGAATTCAAAAATGATTGACTAGTGCATGGATATCAAGTAATAAATAAAACAGTCCTAGTGCCTGAAAGACTCCTGAATAAAGAGAAAATTATTTTTGGATTTTCCTTCTGATCAGATATGAAATATTCTGAAACGCCACCAGTATAATTTGATAAAAAGCTTGATATCTCCAAATGAAAATAGGACTCAGCACTTTCATTTTTTCCCCCCAGTCTCTAAAGGAAACTAGGTAAACTGATTTTCAAAAAATGAAAATCTCAGGCATAAAGGTGGAAGTAATGAAGCAAGTTTAAATATGTGCTGACCTTTGAAATGAACTGCAATCCATGTTGTTTGGCCAGGATCTGGTTGTGTAGCTGTCTCCATTGATTTCTAAAGCATGAAAGGCTCAGGCTTCAGAGCAGCTCTGCTCTCTGGTGGATGCTGGCAGGCATTGCAGCAAAGATTCCCCCACCAGCAGAGATGGCCTTACACTTCGCGTTCTGAAATAGAAAACAAAGAATTGACTCGGAATAAAAATGTCACATGCAAGCCCTAGTGTCTGTGTCTGTGTCTGTCTCTGTCTCTGTCTCTTTCTCTGTCTCTCTCTGTGTGTGTGTGTGTGTGTGCGTGTGTGTGTGTGAGAGAGAGAGAGAGAGAGAGACGCATATGTGCATTGTATGTGTATAATAAGATGTTCTCACTGCTCTTTGGACTAAGAAAATCTTATTACTTGCCTTTTTTGGAAAAAGAAGAAATAATAGGAAGGGGGGGTGAGGAAACAGTTTACGAAAGCTATATGTCAACTTTTTCAAGGATATAAAGTACCAGGTTTTCATGACAACCCCGAACACATCCTTCCCTGACCTGCACTTCTGACGTTTTGGACTACAACTCCCAACATTCATGCCCACTGACCATGGCAGCAAGGACTGGCGTGCATTTATGTTCAGAACACCTGGATGTTGCGAAGTGTTGAGGAAAGCAATATTTGCATCTTAAAGAAAAAAAATACAAAGCAGAATACCCATGTAATTAAAAGTGTTGTTATAGCTAAGTCAGTTTGACAATGCGGTGAATACTTCTTTTCCGCATTTCTCAGTTTTATTGGCAGCTTATTAAGAAAAAAATAAAAAATACTTCCTCTGTATTGGAAAGAAGGGCCACTTTTACACATTGTTCTTAATCAATCCGGAATTCTGTATCAAGATCTCCTTCCAAGATATTCATTTGCATTGTCTAAGCTGCAAAAAAGGAATGAGAGAAACAAGAAGCTTTCCCTCCATTCTAGATCTCTCCAGCCAATGTTTTGATTCATCATTTTAGCAGGAATCACACTAGCAGCTTCAAAGCACTGAGGGATGTGACCAAGAACGCTACCCTCTATCTGAGCTTCATTCTCCTCCACATACTGTACATTGTGAGACCCATCTTCTTCACTGCCCCTGCTGCCAACTGCTTTCCTGTCATGGCAAGATGCAATTAGGAAGAGGACTTGTAGTTTTAGCAAAAGGCAAAACACACAAAAGAGGCACACTTCCCCTCCTTTGTGTGTGTGTGTTCTCCCACTGATTTCCAAAACAGAGCCTTTAAACATTAGTTATTCTTATTATAAACAGGGGGACATGAAAGTCCTGTGTCCTTTTGTGATTCCCTCTCTTGTTTTACCTTTCTTTTACCCTTTGTTTGTCAAATTGCATGGGAAATGTTAAATGCAATAGCATTGCAAGGGCTGCTATCAGAACATCCACAGACTTTTGAATCTGCAAAAGACCATGGATTGACTGGAACCCAGTGGGAATGGTCTTTATTTTTTCAGTAGTTCTTTGTGGGTGTGTAAGGTTAGCACTTGCCTGCTGCCTGGTTGCCAGTAATTATTCTATCCTTTTCTTTTTTCCTCGATTTTTTGGGAGAGCCCTCCAATGTTTTGATTATGTTTGTTGCTGCTGCAAAGCAGCCAATTTGTTTCAGCATGTTTCTCTGGGATTATTTTTTTAATCACCATCCCCAAATTTTGGGGGTATTTTTCCTCCCATTTGACCCTTTGTTAGACTATTTTTGGTAACTGATGCTGCAATTGAACTCTTTTCCAACAATACAGGAGGCGACACTACACATGGACATCACCAAATGGGCAATACCAAAATCAGATTGATTACATTCTCTGCAGCCAAAGATGGAGAAGCTCCACAAAGTCAGCAAAAACAGGACCTGGAGCTAATTGCTTCTTATAGCAAACCTCACGCTTAAACTGAAGAAAGTAGGAAAAACCACTGAACTAGTCAGGGACAATCTAAACCAAATCCCTTTTGAATACACAGTGTAAGTGAATAACAGATTTTAGGAACTAGATTTAGTGGACAGAGTGGCTGAAGAACTATGGATGGGGGCTCATAACACTGTACAGGAGACAGCAACAAAAACCATCCCAAAGAAAAGGAAACACAAGAAAGCAAAGTGGCTGTCCAACAAGGTGTTACAAATAGCAGAGAAGAGAAGGGAAATAAAACGCGACGGAGATAGGGAATGTTACAGAATATTCAATGCGAACTCCCAAAGAATAGTAAGGAGAGACAAGAGGGCCTTCTTAAATGAACACTGCAAAAATATAGAGGAAACTAATAGAAAGGGGAAAACCAGAGATCTTTTCAAAAACATTGGAGATATTAAAGGAACGTTTTGTGCAAAGATGGACATGATAAAGGACAAAAATG